AACAGTGACAGTTTTGCTTCCTCCTTTCCTATTTGGATGCCTTTTATTTCCTTTTCTTGCCTGATCGCTGTGGCCAAAACTTCCAAAACTATATTGAATAGAAGTGGTGAAAGTGGACACCCTTGTCTTGTTCCTGATCTTAGTGGAAAAGGTTTTAATTTTTGCCTATTGAGTATGATATTGGCTGTAGGTCTCTCATATATGGCTTTATTATATTGAGGAATGCTCCCTCTATTCCTACTTTGCTGAGTGTTTTTATCATAAATTGGGTGTTGTACTTTATCAAAAGCTTTTTCTGCGTCTACTGATACGATCATGTGGTTTTTGTCTTTGGTTTTGTTTATGTGATGTATTACATTTACTGATTTGCGAATATCGAACCATCCTTGCATCCCTGGGATGAATCCCACTTGGTCATGGTGTATGATCTTTTTGATATATTGTTGGATGCGATTTGCCAATATTTTGTTGAGGATTTTAGTGTCTATGTTCATCAGCGATATTGGCCTGAAGTTTTCTTTATTTGTTGCGTCTGTATCTGGTTTTGGAATTAAGATGACGCTTGCTTCATAAAAAGAATCTGGGAGTTTTCCATCCTTCTGCATGTTTTGGAATAGTCTGTGGAGAATAGGGGTTAGCTCTTCCTTAAATGCTTTGTAGAATTCTTCTGTGAAACCATCTGGTCCAGGGCTTTTGTGTGATGGGAGGTTTTTGATTACTGCTTCAATTTCTTTTGCTGTTATTGGTGTGTTCAGATTTTCTGTTTCATTTTCATTAAGTTTTGGAAGATTATATTTTTCTAGAAATGTGTCCATTTCCCCTGGGTTTTTAAATTTCTTGGCATACAGTTCTTCACAGTAATTTCTAACAATCCCTTCTATTTCTGTGGTATCAGTTGTAATCTCTCCTCTTTCATTTCTGATTGTGTTTATTTGAGTCCTCTCTCTTCTTTTCTTAATGAGCCTACTTAAAGGCTTGTCTATTTTGTTTATCTTCTCAAAAAAACCAACTCCTGGATTCGTTGATCCTTAGAATTGTGCTTTTAATCTCTATGTCATTAAGTTCTGCTCTAATCTTGGTTATTTCCTTCCTTCTGCTTGCTCTGGGCTGTCTTTGTTGTTGTTCTTTGAGTTCTTGCAGGTGTAGGGTTAGGTTGTTTGTTTGAAATGTTTCTATCTTCTTTAGGTAGGCCTGTATTGCTATAAACTTCCCTCTCAGGACTGCCTTCGCTGTGTCCCATAAGTTTTGGTTTGTTGTGAGTTCGTTTTCATTTGTTTCCAGAAACGTTTTGACTTCTCCCCTAATTTCATTCTTGACCCATTCGTTGTTTAATAGCGTACCATTCAGTCTCCATGATTTTGGGTTCTTTGGGTTTTTTCCTCTGGGGTTGGTTTCCAATTTCAGTCCCTTGTGGTCAGAGAAGATGCTTGGTATGATTTCAATTTTCTTGAACTTTTTGAGGCTCATTTTGTGTCCTATCATGTGGTCTATCATTGAAAATGTTCCGTGTGGCATTTGAAAAGAATGTGTATTTAGCTTCTTTGGGATGAAGGGCTCTATATATATCAGTTAAGTCCATTTCATCTAGGGTGTTGTTTAATGCTGCAATATCTTTGTTGATATTTTGTTTGGAAGATCTGTCCATTTTTGATAGTGGGGTGTTAAAATCCCCTACTATAATTGTGTTGCTGTCAATATTTTTCTTGAAGTCCTCTAAGATTGTCCTGATATATTTTGGTGTCCCTATGTTTGGTGCATATATGTTTATGATGTTAATGTCTTCTTGGTTGATTCTTCCTTTGAGTATAATGAAGTGACCTTCTGGGTTCATCTTTATGGCCCTTTTTTGAAGTCCATTTTGTCCGATAGAGAATTGCTACCCCAGCTTTTTTATCTTGTGTTTTTGCTTGGAAAAGTTGTTTCCAGCCTTTCACTTTTAGTCTGTGATGGTCTTTTTTCCCGAAGTGGGTCTCTTGTAGGCAGCATATGTGTGGGTCATGCTTTCTTATCCATTCAGCTATTCTGTGTCTTTTGATTGAAGCATTTAATCCATTTACAGTTAAGGTTATTATTGATAGGTACTTATTCATTGCCATTTTTGCACCTGTGTTCCTCTTTGTCTGTCTCTTTTCCTCCCTTTCCTTAAAGCAGTCCTTTTAATATTTCTTGTAGAGCTGGTTTGCTGGAGGCATATTCTTTTAGATTTCTTTTGTCTTGGAAGCTCTTTATTTGGCCTTCTATCTTGATTGAGAGCCTTGCTGGGTAAAGCAGCCTTGGTTGTAGGCCTTTGGTTCTCATTACTTGGAATATTTCTTGCCATTCTCTTCTTGCTTGGAGTGTTTCCATTGAGAAGTCAGTAGCTAACCTTATTGGGGCTCCCTTGTATGTTACTTCTTTTTTCTCCCTTGCTGCCTTTAAGATTCTTTCTTTGTCTTGGAATTTTGCCATTTTGATGCTGATGTGTCTTGAAGTGGGCCTTCTTGGTTGGGTTCCTCTTGATTGGGACTCTCTGTGACTCCTGAATTTGTGTGACTTTTTCTCTCATCAAATTAGGGAAATTTTCTCTCATTACTTTTTCGAATACACTTTCTATCCCTTGTTCTTCTTCTTCTCCTTCTGGTATTCCTATTATTTGTATATTATTACTTTTCATATTGTCCTGCATTTCTTTTTATCCCTCTTCATTCTTTCTGAGCCTCTTTTCCTTTTCTTGCTCTTTCTGTGAGATGATTTCTACTTTGTCCTCCAACTCACTGATGTGACTCCTTGCCTCATTTATCCTACTTTTGAATCTTTCTACTGTGTTCTTCAATTCAGAAATTGTATTCTTCATTTCCTCTTGTCCCTGCTGATATTTTCTATTTCCGTTTTCATGTTGACGTAGATTGCAGAGAGATCATTGTAGTTCCCCTGTAGTTTTTGATAGCTCATTGTGAGCTCTTTGAACTTCGTGACTACCAGTGCTTTGAATTCACTATCTGATGGTTGATTAGCCTCTATTTCATCTAATATTTTTTCTGAAGTTTCTGCTTTTTTTTTCATTTGGGGATTGGTTCTTTGTCTTCCCATTGTTTGAGACTCTTCTTGTTAGTCTCAGCTTCTAAAATTGATCTGTTTTGACTTTCTGGGTTTATGGTGTGAACTTCTGTGGTATGATACTTGTGAAGTTCAGTGGTGCAGACACCTTCAGGTATCTTGATGTTCTCCGTGTCCACCTGCTCTCACGCTGGTCCTTGCACTGGTCCCTGCGCTGGTTGCGTACTACTGGTGAGTGTTCCGGTTCCCATAGCTGACTCCCCAGAGACCCGGCCTGTAGCTATGGCAGCAGCACGGGGGCCTCAAGTGTCCCACCTCCCGTAGCTGACTCCTCTGGTACCCAGGCCCATCACAGGGGCCTCCAGTGTCCCGGCTCCTGCAGCTGGCTCTCTAGCCCCCAGGTCTCTTGCTATGGTGCCGTCACAGGGGCCTCGAGTGTCCCGGCTCCTGTACCTGACTCCCCGGTGACCAGGTCAGTCACAGGGGCCAAGAATGTCCCGGCTCCCGTAGCTGACTCCCCGGCTCCCAGGCCCATTGCTATGGCAGTGGCATAGGGGCCTCTTGTGTCCCAGCTCCCGTAGCTGACTCTGCTGCTGTCTGGTGTTTCAGCATTGGTCACAATCTCTGGTCTTTTAATTTCATAAATGCTGGGTAACCGATGGTTTATTGTGCTGTTTCTTTATAGATCTGCCGGGATTTTCACCCATGAATACAGGAGCTAGAATCTGCTCTGTCCTACTCTGTTGCCATCTTCCCAGCATCCCAGAGTGCCTATTTTTTTAAATTTTAGTTTTTTTTAAAGAAAAAGCAACAATAATGGGAAAAATGAATTCAAGAAATTTCTTTGGGAATCTCAATCCTCGCTAATGAGTTAGGAGCTTTCTTTTAGGATAAGAACAAACTTTCAAATGTTTTTAGCTGAATTATTTATTTTCCCTGCTGTGGTGGAGGGAGGCATGGTGAAAAATAAGGGTATCATTTATTATTAATTTATTTCTAACTAAAGAAAATACTAAGAACTGAAACTCAAATAAAACCACTTATTTTAATATTTTCTGTCCTTAGGTTACTTAAGTATTTGATAATGGGGGAGATTGAATTTACTGGCTACAGTGCTTTGTTTTATAATTAAATATAATTTTTATTTTAAATGATCTATTCTACTCATCTATGGAACCCATAAAAATGGTTGGGCCATTTTTCTCTATAACATCTGTTAGATAAACTTTATATGGAGATGACAGCATGAACATTTTGTATTTAATCATTCTTTACCTCTAAAAATATTTATCTACATTAATACACAATAAGATCAAGACAAAATAAGTATTGAAGATAAACTAGTACTTTGTAACTATGGTTAAGTATAATTAAACAGATATAGTTCATGCAGGGTGGTAGGTTTCTCCTTTCCTTCTAAGTAGTCTGTTTCATTCTGTATTCAAGAAGGGGGGTCACACTGGAAAAGAAAAATCAGTAAACAAGTTTTACTTCCCACCTAAGAGGAGATCATGTTGATTCAGTCAGAGCCTCAAGGTCCCTATTCTGTAAAGTCAGCAAAAAACAGTTTCCATTCACTGATCTATAGGCCCAGGACATAGACGAAAGTTTTTTTCCTTGTCCTATTTCTATTTCTTCTTGGACCTGAGAAAAGACAGTTCTCAGCAACACTAAAATAGGTTACTTGGTTGTAAACACTCTCAAGCAGTGGGTCTCTTTTTTATGGCCAGGTGCTTGACATCTAGCAGGTATTCAACAAATGCTTGCTGAAGGAGAGAATCCATGAGTGCATGAATGCACGCACACCTGAGGCAGAAAGAAGAGGAAGACACCTCTCTTTAAGTCCCAGCTCTGCTGCATCCTCAGCAAGGTCTTTCATCTTGCACTGCTTCAGTTTCATCATCCAGGCTGGATGATCTTGGGGTCCTGAACAAAGGTACATTCTCCAAGTGTGAATTCTGTACCTGGTTTAACTGTAGTCACCCCTTCTCCAATGCTCTCCACAATGCCGGCTGCCTCATGGCCTAAGATCGCAGGTAGAGGAGTGACAAAGTTTCCAGTAACCACGTGGTTGTCTGTCTGACACAATCCTGTGGCCACCATCTACGGGGTAAAGGAAAGATAGATTCAGAAGAACTAATGGTTCTTTGGAAAGATAGATTCAGAAGAACTAATGGACTTAACATGACCAATTTCCTAAAGTTGGACTTGGGAAGAATTTCCAAGGATTTTGCTAATAATCCCTACTCTTCCCAAATACAAAAGATTCTGTTTTTCCCAAGATTATTCAGTCTAATACTTAATACTTTTCTTACCTGCCTTAAACACTTCAGAATATCTAAAATAATTATTTCTGAAATGTGTAAGTCTCATATAATCGACAAGAATCTTTTTTAATCAAAGTACAAACCACAGATTAGTACCAAGAAAATTAAATCAGTTAAGTTCTACCATCTAATGCTAATTGATTTTAAAATCTATCATCTATCTATATCTCTTCATATTCCTTTGCCCTTTTTCTATATAAACATATCAATTCTTTTTTAATTTTATTAGTGTGAAAGAATTTCAATCTGAAATGGAACCATTGGATATAAAATGGAAAATCTCGTGCTTGCCCCATCACGAAAACAAAACACAAGGACTGAGAGACTGATTTCCTTAAATGCCTGATTTCTAGAAAATATTATCATTTTTCCTAAACAATAAAGAGTTGGCCAGGGATTGCTTCAGACCAACCTTGGGCAACTTTGCTCATGTTTTCCAGACATGATTAGCCAGGTTTTGTCTGCATGGGGAATTTTCAATGCTTGTCTCCATTTGTTTTTGTTGTAAAGGTAAAAAATATTAGTGAAATAAAAATAAAAGAATACATTGCTGCAATATTGTCATTAGATTAAGCAAATTTCAAGGCCCAAATTAATTAAACAACAATAAAAGAACATCATATAACAATAACAATAGAAGGTGCCATCATAACAAAAATATACATTTTAACTGACTATAACTGAACTCTCCTATCTTTAAATTTCTTGCCCTTGAGTTACCCTACCCCAAGCTCTGAACAGACTAGCATGTAGCTTGCTACAATTTGCACATTCTAAATTGCAATTCCTCAGTTATTTTTGAATAAATCTTTTTGACCATTTTAAGTTTGACTCAGTTTACCTCTTTATTTAGGTAGACATTAGGATTATACCGTATATATTCTTTCTTCTCTTTTTTAAAATTTAACAACTTGTATTTATGTCTTTCCTTGACAGAAAATGTAATTCCACTGTTTGGATTACTATAGATAAGGCACCTCTTAATGAATTTTTGGTTATTTGTATAACTATTCTCTGAGTTTTTTAATCCTAAAATTAAATAGAAGTGAAAAAATGTTTCACCTTTATACGAACTTCATGAGCCTTTGGGGGTGCTACCTCCACCTCCTCAATGGAAAAGGGTTTCTGTACCTCCCATAGCACAGCTGCTTTGCATTTTATCACCTGGAAATTGAACAGAAAGATGATGCCCGTGATACCCTATTCTTTAAGTCAGGGACTGTGACTTTCATCTTTTTATGTTCAACATCTAGCCCCATGTCTGGAACCTAACAAATGTTATATAGAAATGAACAACCTCTGATTTGCAAAAGGAGAAAAAACCCTCTAAAATGTGTAAAATAATTATGTAAGAATTAACTACGAGACACTGAGATAAAACAGAATATGTTCTTTTAGGCCATCCTTATGTTGTTTCTTTTTCCAAGGGTTGTTTATTCCTGATACTTCCTAACACAGTCCTGAAATCGGGTGTTTACCTACAACTCTTGGCTTGTACATGAAGTTTTTAAATCACATTTTTTGTTGTTGTTCACAGATTCACTGTCTGTTCATATAAAAGCTACTGCTCTCTTGCTCAATTTTTTCCCCTTAAGCCTAAAACAATGTGACTTTGATTCCAGTGCATACTTGCCTCCCTGCATAGGATTTATTTTTCTCTATTTGCCTGTCCTTCTTCGATTTTTTTCTCTCTCCACTACTTCTGTATGCCACCTGTTTACATCACTCATTTAAAAATGAGTTTTTGGCAGCATGGCTTTCATATCTAATTTATGTGTAGCTATTCTTTCCAGATTAGATGTGGGCCGAAAATCACAGAGGTTATAGCTACACAGACGTACTCTTACTCACATACACACATATATATTTAAAAATGAGAAAACTGTGTGTTTGATATTTTAGCTAGCATGTTACCCATAAATATTCTTCAAGATTAAAATTGAACATGTATTTTAGTACTTGAGAAGGTAATAACCTGTCTTCATGGTTGCAAGGCTTATACATTTGAGGTTTTTTTTCTAGACAGAAGGTTTGGTAATAATTGTAATTATGAATTTATAATTAATAAATGTAAATGCGATTTAAAATTCAATCAAAATTTATCCTTTTGACATTTTATTTTCTTGTTTATATGTCAATTCTTCCACTTTCCTGAGTGTTTGGGATGGTCAATGCATAGTAAACATGAGACTACTTAGAAAGAATATACTAACAGTACATAGGTCCTGATTATTGGGTGTTTATATAATGGGCAGGCACATTGTGACCTGTGCTGAATGAGTTATCTGCTCCATCTTTAAACCCCACAGGATGAAATCATTAACTTATTAGTATATTTTTCAAATGACAAAGTTGAGCCTCTGTTGATAATTAATTTTCGCAGTCACAAAGTTGGCCATCCAGAGAATGAAGATCAATCCAAAGTTATCTTTTCACCATCCCATGGTCATAAAAGATTAACCAAAGTTTAAATTCAACAGCGGTGACTAACATTTATCGAATTATTTCCATGTACCAGGCACTAGCCTAAGTGCTAAGCAGTATTAATTTGTTAAGTTCTAAAAACTACCTTATAGCATAGGCATTATTATGATTGCTGTTTGGCATTTGAGGAAAATACAACACAGGGAGAATAAATATAAATGGAACTGTACCACAAAGCTGAAAGCCTAATGTTGCACCAGAGGTGGGAGGTTTGACTGCTTATTGTTTATTGTTCTCATGAATATATTTAGTTTACTCTTTTGCTTTCAGAACTCAGGATTTGGATAAAAATTTCCTGGATTGAGCCATAATCAGACACTTATAAATCAGAATTTGCATGCTGATGTTGGCTTACTTGAGCTTGATGATTCTAATGCTTTGAGATCAATAAAATTTTATCAGACTTAACTTTCCTCCTGTGTTAATAGAAAGATGATTACAAAGAAGAACATTTAAATTATACTTCTTAATATTAATATAGAGATAAATTCTTGATTAAAATATTTTGAACTTTAGGTTTTTGAATTACTCATAAGTAGCTGTAACTACTTAACATTTATTTAATATAAAAATAAAGACTTTAATAGGTAAAGATTCTATACATTCTTGTTAATGATATTTAGGAACAGCCTATTCGATTGTAGTTCAACATACATTGCATAATAAAGTGTACATTCTATATTTTAGTATATATTGTTTCTAATTTAGATATCACTTAAATTATTCATTAAATACTACATCTCTTTGTATATTATGTTTTCAAAAGTAAAATGAAAATTGCTTACTTTTCCTGCTGTGCTCATATTCTGTTCTGTCTGCAGGCCAGGAGACTGAATTCTTGCAGACTGTTCCCTGCGCAAGTACATGCAGCAGTTATGTTGCACAAATATTTTGTTGCTTAAGTAATACCCAGTCTCAGACATGTGATCTGGAGTCTTTAAGCCACGCCCATCAGCTTATTCCCAAACCATATCAAATCAGAAAAAAAAGGGTACTGAACCAGCACTAAAACCTGGATTTTGTTTGCAATATGCTAGTTAGAGATAAGAGCTTGATATCTTGAACTATTTTTTACACATAAATTTTAATCTCCCTGTCTCTTTCTCCTGGATTCCATATTTATTCTCTTTCAATCCTCTGTTTTACCTTTGTGTGTATTAATCCTCAATTTCTAATCCACATGTTGCAGTTAGAAAGAAGGAAGAGTAAGGGAGAAGCACAAATGACATATGACAGAGAGAACTATAGACCAGAGAAATGTATTTTCTCCAGCTCTCTCCTATTCTTCATTGCTGAGAAGTCAGACATCAATCAGTCACAGAAAAGGTGCTCATGACCCTGTCATTTCTGCCTTACTCAATACCTATCAGCATCGTCTGAGCACCTCCCTGTTACAGGCATTCAGTTTGGTACAGTGGGGTGGCAATGAGAGTAACAGAGGGCCTCTGCCTCTGCCAAAAAGCAGCATGGGGCAATGCTTATGATATTGCCTTGGACTCAGGGCAGTCCCTATGCTTACTAGTTGTGTGAATTTGCCCTTAGCTGCTTTATTTGAAAAATAATAGAATAATAGTACCATTTGAAAAAGCTGTTGAACAGATGGGCCAAACCCTTTAAAGCACCTATTAGGAAACCTGACAGGACAATCTTCAGTAAATACCAGCTACAATGATTATCCTTAAAAGAGAGCTCACAGTCTATAGGGGGAAACAAGTCATACCATCTACTTTGAAGAGAGGGCACCTGACTGAAAGACTCAGTGGAGGCTTTGTAGAGAGAAGACATTTAAGTTAGAAACTAAATAAACATGTTTTGGGTAGAGTAAAAAAAAACAAAACCTTATGCACTTCTATTATCCTTTGGTCAGTGCCATGAATAAAAAAAAAGAGAACATGAGTCTGATTTTTAATAAATCTTAAGTCTTATACTAAAACTTGGGAACACAGCATATTAAACTACTTAATTAGATATAGTCTGTCAACATGTATACATTAATATAAAGGGTGTATTTTTCTAAAATTGTCAAGGAAATGACACAAAAATGTGCTTGGCAGTTTTTTTTCTGAGTACCAAACTAAAATAATCTAAATGTTTAAATGAAATATATTATGGGTCAACATGATGAATAGCTAAGTAAATAGTCATTTTTGAGATGATGAAGGAATACAAATATTGTAGAGTGATTTTAAAGTAATGCACCAACTCCACAAGTTTAGTAATATAAACATACATATCAGTAAGGAAGGGTGAGTAGACAGAAAAGTGGTTCTGTGGAAAGTAACTTCATAGACTGATGTGATCATAAACTCTTAAGTGGGCAGGTCGCAGTGGGTAGTCATGTCCAGGCAGGTAACTTCTCTAGTAAAAGGATTACCTTGGCCTTCAGCAAGCCCTGTCCATTGTGTCTGTGCACCTAGGTTAGAACACCTTTGAAATGCCTCTTTTCAGAGATCTCCTTCTGAAGCATGATCACCCTCATGAGAACATAGAGTCCTGTTAACTATCCAGTACTTCAATCCTTTCCTTTCTGTCTGCTAGCTTCACATAATGTTCCTTACATTCTCTTCTTAATTCCAAATGCATAAAGAAAGCTGCAAACTGTCATTTCTTGGAAGTGTTTTTCTCAGTCTGTTGAGATCTTGCTTCCAGACGTACCCTCTATTTGGCTCAAATAACTTATAAAAATTATCTACAGGTTTGGCATTCACGTACATATAACAGATTTTAGGTAACCTTGAAATATTCCAAGTAGGCAGAAATGTGAAATGGGCTGGCCCACACTGATGTGTGGTGGTTAAGAACAGGGAGGATCACCTCAGCTGCAGAGGTCCACTGGGATCCCCAGCCAGGAGAACCAGTGCTGGGAAGATGAATCCCCACATCAGCTGGCTGTGAAGATCAGTAGGGACTTAGTTCTGGTGAGATGGAGGACTGCTGTAGGCCAAAGTGATCTCTTCAAGGGTTGGAACACAGACTCACTTAACCATAAACACTCACCCTAAGCTCCAGAGGAGGTACAGCAATTCAAAGGGTGTCAGGGACATGTGGGAAAAGACTGATTTTCTGACTTCAGTGTGAAGGCTGGTGGGGAAGCTCTTTTAGAAATTACAGTGCTGGAAGGTGACATTGTTCCTTTGTTGAGCCCTTTCCCCCCTCAGCCTTCAGGCAGGTGCAAAATCTAAATCTCCACTAACTTGGCTAATACTGATCTTGACTACTCTGGTGATACTCTGAGACCCTATACCACCCAATTCACATGCCTGGTCCAAACCTATTTCATGGGATAATCCACACAAGCAGCCATCCTTGGTCCATGCTTTGGACTTTCCTAAAATCTCACAGGTTCATAAACCCCAAACAGGCAGTGGTTGGCCTCAGTATGCCCTGTACTTCTTGTTAAGTGGCCCAAAGTTCAGCACTTCTGGCAGCTGGCTTCAGTTCACAGCACAACAACTCCCAAGTGTCCCCAAGCCCAGCATAGGCAGCTACCCACCACAGATCACGTTGTAGTTCCTACCAGGTGGTCCTAGGCCAAAAGCAGATGTTGATCTTGGCCTACACAGAAGCCCCTCTCAAGAGCCCTCGGAACCAACACCCTTGGTGGCCAGCTTCAGACCACACCAGGGCACTGTCTAGTTAATGCCATAAATGGCACACCCAAAGGATGGACTTGGCAGGCACCATAGCTCCACTAAAGTGAATCCCACTCCATGGGGTCAGTACCACATAACAGCTTATCTGCTGTAGTCATGGCCAGTCCTAACCCCCAGTTAGCCTGTGGGTCAGTCCCACCCACTAAGGTGCTTAAAGCAGTCAAGTCTCAGCTACAAGCAGCACACAAAACTACACAAAGAACACTCTGGAGCATATGGGTCTGGTAAACAGGAAGATTATGCCACTGTGCCCCATAGGACACCTTCTATATAAGGTGCTATGACTGGAGGTATAGTAGATCTACCTAATATGTAGACTCAAACAGAGGAGGCAGCCAAAATGAGGGTACAAAGAAAAACATTTTAAAGGAAAAAATAAAGTAAGACTCCAGGGGAAGAAAAACTGAATAAAATGAAGACAAGAAATCTACCAGATACAGAGTTCAAAACACTGGTAATAAGGATATTCAATAAAAATATTACCTCAGTGAGAACTTCAACAAAGGGATATGAAACATAAAAAGGGAGATAGAAACCATAAAAATAACCAGTCAGAAATGAAGAATATAACAACTGAAATGAAGAATACATTAGAGGGAATCAACAGCAGACTAGATAAAGCACAGAACAGAATCAGTAATTTGGAATACAAGGTAGCAGAAAACAACAAGCCAGAGCAGCAAAACAAAAAAAGAATTTTTAATTTAATATTTATTGTATGTTTTTTCATTACCCTTTAGTCCCCTTATACTCTCCACCCCCAGAGGCAAAAAGAATGGACATGGACAATGCAAAAATAATTTAAAATATGAGGATAGTTTAAGGGACCTGTGCGATAACATCAAGCATAACAACATTTGCATTATAGGTATAGCAGAAAGAAAAGAGAGAAACAGAGCAAAGGATTTGAAAAATTAATAACTAAAAAATTTTCCTAATCTGCCAGAGAACATAGTCATACAAGTTCCGGAAGTGCAGAGTCCCAAACAAGATAAACCAAAAAGGGCCCACACCAAAACACATCAAAATTATAATGCCAAAGGTGAAACACAAAGAGAAAATCTTAGAAGCAGCAAGAGAAAAGCAGTTACACATAAGGTAGTTCTAACAAGACCATCAGCTGATTTATCAAAAGAAACTCTGCAGGTGAGAAGTATTTGGTACAAAATATTTAAAGTGATGAAAATTAAGGAACTACATCTATGGGCACCTGGTGGGTGGTGCTGGGCCTTGGGGTACCCTGAGACTGTTGCTAAATGGCCTCAGACCCAGCACTGGAGCTGAGTTTAAATCTGTATCAGTCTGGTGAGTAGCATTTGTCTCTACCTGGTGACTCACTGAGAACCTACCTTATGCAACTCATGTACCACCAGAGGCTCTCTCAGTGACTGAACTTAATAGGCTGCTAGCAGGTGGAGGTGGACCTTGAGTAGCCTTGGACCTTTTTCTGATCTGCCCCTGGACTTGGTGCTTGTGGAAACTGGCCTCGGTGTGCAGCTTGTCCCCTCCCATGCAGACACAGGCCAGAGAGAGGTGGCCACAAACTGGATAACTTTTTCGTTCCAAACTGGTAGTGCAGGCTGGTCATAGGCAGTGACTGACATTGATCTGCACTAGAGTCCCTCCCAAGTAGTCCCCCAACCAATGCACTGGTGGGCTTCAGGCCACATCTGAGGATGGCCCAGTTAGTTCCATAAGCAGCACGTGCAAAGAGAGATCTTGGCAGAAACCAAATCCTGTTGCCACAAAATTCACTTCATGGGGTCAGCCCCACACAGCATCTCATCCACTGTGGTCAGGGTTGATCCTCACAATTAGCTGGAGAAGTAACCCCAACCACGGGTGGGCCAACGGCCATCAAGACTCAATTACAACAGGAGGATTCACATAACCCACAGAAGGGACATTCCTGGAGGACTTAGCTCAGATGATTAGGGAGACTGTGCTACTGAGCCCCATAAGACACCTACTACATAAAGTCACTGTAACAAGACTTGGAGGTATAGCGGATTTATGAAATACATAAAAACAAATACAGAAATCTAGCCAAAGTGGGGAGACAAAGATACACGACCCAAAGGAAAGAACAGAAGAAATCCCCTGGAGAATGATGTAAATGAAATGGAGGAAAGCAAGCTATCAGGTACAGAGTTCAATGGTTTAAAACAATGGTTTTAAAGATGCTTGAGAAACTTAGGGGAAGAATGGATGAACTCAGTAAGAAC